TTCCTTCTGGATAAGGAAAGATAAGGAAAGATAAGGAGCAGCCAGGCCCAGCTGAGCCACCACAAGGTCCCACAGGTATCTGCTGCCCTTCTCCCAGGCTGTGACCCTTAATCACTTTATAACCATGATTGCTTTTTACCCTCTGGGCTGTAAATCCTCAGCAGGTACAGGGACACCCCATCCACTGCCACAGCATCAGCCAGTGCTGGCTTTTAAAACACTCACCTCACTTTTAAAATGTTCACCTCACTTTTGAAACATTTAACTCACTTTTAAAACACTCATCTCACTTTTAAAACACCCAACTTACTTTTGAAACACTCACCTCACTTTTAAAACACTTTTCAAATGCTCACCTCACTTTTAAGACATTCAGCTTACTTTTAAAACATTTAACCCACTTTTAAAACATTCAACTTGCTTTTGAAACATTTAACTCACTTTTAAAATATTTAACTCACTTTTAAAATATTCAACTCCTGCAGGCTACCCAGTGACTCACTGGGGGTTGCCAAGGACCTGAGAAGGGTTTTAATTCTTCAGCAGGGGTGTGAAACTGAACCTCTCCGAAGAGCTCACGTTTTCCAGGTAATTTAGAACATATTTGGGTATTTTGAGTGTGGTTTTTGGTGTATTTTACCTTGAAAATCAGACAGCAGTGTCAGGCTGAGCTATGAGGAGCAGACAGTGCCCAGAGGTGCATTCCTTTCCCTGAGGGTGTTACAGCCCATCTGTAAATAAATTCAGATTTATATCCATCCTGAGGGGAAGAACCTGCTTTGCTCAGACCATCACACTTTATCTGTGCTGACAAATTTCCACCTCATGTTAAAAATAAGGGCCTGTTTTCCAAACAAATCCCCATTTTAAAGGCTGTGCTCTCCCAGAGGCACAGCAGAGAGGGATCCCTCAGACAGCAAAGCCTTTTTTTGCTTTTCTGAAGTTATTTCCATTTGCTTCCTGTTTACCCTCCTTCCTGTGCACTCACAGAAACCACCAGGACTCCACTGAAACGTTCCAAAAGTCGGTGGTGCTCTGTCCCCAGCTTCTCCCATTCCCTGTGGGACTGGGAAACGTGAGCTGAGGGCTGACTGCACCGAGTTCATCAGTGACTGATTCCAGATCTTAACTCCCCAAAGTGCTGAGTGCTCAAATGTCTCCTTGCTATCTGTGCTCCTCAAGAGCAGGGATATTTCCTTTAAAAGCACACCCAGGCCAGGGCAAATCTTCCCCCGGTGAGCTTGGGAAGTTTTCCTGAAGGGCAGGGAGGATCCTTGGGAAAGAATCCCAGCACAGGTGGGAAAGCATTGGAGCGAATCCCATTTCTCTGCTGAGGAAGAGCTTGTTCCTGTGCAGTGAGCAGGCACTGGAACAGATTGCCCAGAGAGGAGTTTCCAGTGCTGGAGACATTCCAGAACCAGCTGGGCACGATCCTGGAGCAGGGAGGTGGCACCAGGTGACCCCACTGTGGTCCCTTCCAACCCGAGCTGCCCAGGGCACGGAACCACATCCCCCCATCAGTGTGGGAAGCAGGGCAGCTCATCATTCCCCTCTGGCAGGTCTGGAGCCGTGGATGAACATGGGAAGGTCAGGTTTGGGTGCTCCCAGTGTCACCCAGAGGCAGAAGCTGCAACCACAGCCCAGAGCAGCTCAACTCAGCCATGGGCTCTGCCAGGGATCCTGGGAAAGGACTGAGATGCCTTGAGCAGGCTGCCCCAGAGCAGAGGCTGGATGGAGCTCCAGAATAAAGCAGGGATTTGTTCAAAGCATCTCCTCCATGGATCCACCTTGGGCAGCACCAGAGCCCAGCCAAGATGAACCAAAATGGCCCCAAAATGCACGGCCGGGCACGGGGTCTGTCCCTGGGATCAGTTCTGCTCCATTTGCACCTTGCAGTTCATTGTCCCATTCCAGCTTTAGCCCCTGCAGTCCCACCCTGCTTGTTTTTCTCTCTCCAGCCCACGGTGTTTGTGCTCTGGGGCTGAGATTTGGATCATTTGTCCTTGGTGCCCAGCTGGAGCAGGAATTGTTTTGTCTCCCTGCTCTGGGCACAGAGCTCAGAACTGCACCTCATCAGAACCATCCCCTGATATGGAGCCCAGACCCTCACACTAAAGCAGCACAGAATGTGAAAAATACAAAACCTAAAACCTGAGGCATTGTTAGCAGCCAGAGGGATAACAGGGATTGGGGCAGGGGCACTGGGAGGGCCCAATCTCCACAGGGCTCCAGGGCAGGAGCAGCTCAGACAAACTCTGGCAGGTGCTGCACAGGTCCCATCACTTCTCCAGGAGGGAAAGGACAGAAGGAGCTCAGAAAAGCTGTTTGCCAGGTGAAATGGGCAAAGCCAAAGCAGGCCAAGCCCTGTTTGCACCCAGTCCCCAGGGATGCTGGACAATGCAGTCTCCAACAAAGCAAACAAAGCCAAGATTCAAGAGGAGAGACCTGAGGAACAGCAGGGCTGGGTGCAAAGTGGGAGCAGATGATGGAAAGGGAACTTGCCCACCCTGCAGGTGCTCCTTCCATGGGGTTTCGTGGTACCCCGAGGGGGTGACACAGCCCCCAGACCCCACCCCGTGCTCCAGCACCTGTGCTTTATTCTCACCTAATCCCTGAGATCCACACCACTCACCTGCTGGTCCTGGAGAGAGCCCCAAAGGAGCCTCTCAGCTCTTACAGAGAAAGCACGGTCACACCCTCCCCTCAACGCTCTGCACTGTCAGAACAAAAGCACCCAAAGTCATTTCCTGGCAGCACAAAAAGCTGCTCCCAGGCTGAGGGAAGAACTCAGATTCCAGCTCACGGCTAAGGAAGGACCTCAGAGCTCCTGCCCTCACCTTTCTCTGCTGTTGTAACCCTTGTGGGCTTGTGCTGCCTGACTGAATGAACCCAGCAGCACAGAAATGCTCACGCTGAGCAGAGCTGAGTGGAAACCCACCAGCATCCACAGCCTGGTGGTAATTTTAGCCCTGCAAGTATTCAGGTCTCTGTTTAGATAAATATCCCGTGCTAGTGAGAGAGGAGACTGAGCCAGCTGCATCCAGTGGGATCAGGGCTGGCTGGAAATCCCAACCCAGGGTGATAATTAGCAGCATTATCTGCTGGTTTAATCAGCAGAGGTGAACTCTGGCAGTGCCGGGCCAGGCAGGGACACTGCTGAGCCCTGGGGTCAGCAGGCCGTGCCCTGGCACAGCCTCTCACAGGAGGGGTCAGGGATGAAATGTTTGCCTTGGCATCTCCCTCCTGGCTGGCTGCAGGAAAGGGCAAAGCCTTCCTCAAAAACTCCTCCTGACACCACAGAACCATGGAAAATCCTGAGCTGGAAGGGACCCCAAGGATCATGGATCCAACCTCTGGCCCTGCAGGGGAAGAACCTTTCCCTATCTCCAAGCTAAACCTCCCTGCACAGCTCCAGCCCTTCCTGTCTCTGCTCACCAGAGAGAAGATCCCTTATTAATTGATCCCTTAATAATTATGCAATTTAGGAAACCTCCTGTTCTCCTAAAGACACCAAAGCATTCCCTTGGCAGCTCCAAGAGGGATTGCTTTCCATGTGCCAGGACATCAGCCACAGGAATCAATTCAGTCTGGTGTTTTTGAAGGGAATGGGGAGAGTGAAGTCAATCCTACACAGCCTCAAGGGGATGAATGCACACCGTGCTCCCCACGGAGACCCCAAAGTGACCAAGGGCATCCCCGTGGGAGGTGGCCCTGGGTGTCCCTGCCCATGGCAGGGGGAAGGGGATGGGCTGTAAGGTCCCGTCCAACCCGCACCAGTCTGGGATTCTCTGGTTTTGTGGGGTTTGTGCTCCAGGTGCCGCTTCCCCCATTCACTGCCCGAACTCAGGCGCAGCCACCGACACAGGCCGGCACCCACAGGACCCGGGTGGGCACCCGAGCCCGGCCCGGAGGAGCGGCTGGCGCCGTTCCCGTGGCCCTGGCACCGTTCCCGTGGCCCTGGCAGCACCCCCGTGTCCCGGTCCCCGGCACGGCCCCGGGGCGGGGTGCGGGCAGGGCCGGGCGGCGGGACCGGCCCGGCGTGTGCGTGCAGAGCCGCGATCCGGGCCGGGCGTGCCGGGGCACAGCTCCGGGCACAGGGCAGGGCCGGGCCCGGCCGCCGCGGGCTGTCCCGGGCGCTGATCCGCGGAGTTTCACCCGCCGGGATGGCGGGGAGGGGCCCGGGACAAGGAGGAGTCACGGCCCCGCTGAGGCAGCGCTGAATCACGGCCGGCGGGGCTGGAAGGGCCCTCACGACCCGGCCCACGGCAGGGACACCTCCCTCTGTCCCGGCCGCTCCCAGCGCGGCCTCGGACCCTGCCGGGGACCCGGGGGCAGCCACAGCCTCGCCGGGCGCCCGTGCCGGGGTCTCCCCGTCCCCGCCGCGCACACCGCCCGTCCTGGGGCACGTTTATCTCTCGGTCCCGGGGCCGCTCCCACCCGGTCTCCCACCGGTGCTGCCCCTTTAAGACGCGCCCCGCGCGCGCCCCGCGCTGACGCGCGATCGCGTGGCGCCTCTCCCCACCGCGGCCCCGCCCCCTCCGCGCGCCGCGCGCGCGCCGCCCCGCCCCGTCCAATCAGCGTCGAGGCCCCGCCCCCTCTCGGAGCCCCCGGGGGCGGGGCGGCGGCGGCGGCGCAGGCGCGCGGGGCGGGCGGGAAGGCGCGGGCGGAAGGGGGGCGGGGCCGCGGCGGGGCGTGGCGGGGCGCGCGCGGGCGCATGCGCGGGGCGGCGGCGGGGCGGAAGCGGGCGCGGGCGCGCGCGGCCCCTTTCCGGCGGCGCGGGCGGAGGGAGCGGCGCGCGGGGCCCTCAGGTACGGCCGGGACGCTCCCGGGCCATCGCGGCCGCCGCCGGCGCTGCACGGCGCTCCCCGGCCCTCGGCACCCTCCGGACCTTCCCGCCGCCGCCGCGCCGGCACCCATGAGCTGAGGCGCCGCGGCGGGAGCCCAGGCAGGAGCGGGCGGAGCCGCCGCCGCGGGCCCGGCGGAGCAGCGGAGCCGCCTCCCCGCCGCCCCATGCGCGGCCCGCGCTGAGCCCCGCCCGCCCTTCCCCGCCGGGCCGGCGCTCGCCCTCTCGCCCTCCCTTGGATGCCGCCGAGATGGGCAAGGTGCTGTCCAAGATCTTCGGGAACAAGGAGATGCGGATCCTGATGCTGGGGCTGGACGCGGCCGGCAAGACCACGATCCTGTACAAGCTGAAGCTGGGCCAGTCGGTGACCACCATCCCCACCGTGGGCTTCAACGTGGAGACCGTCACCTACAAGAACGTCAAGTTCAACGTGTGGGACGTGGGCGGCCAGGACAAGATCCGGCCCCTGTGGCGGCACTACTACACGGGCACGCAGGGGCTCATCTTCGTGGTGGACTGCGCCGACCGCGACCGCATCGACGAGGCGCGGCAGGAGCTGCACCGCATCATCAACGACCGGGAGATGCGGGACGCCATCATCCTCATCTTCGCCAACAAGCAGGACCTGCCCGACGCCATGAAACCCCACGAGATCCAGGAGAAACTGGGCCTGACCCGGATCAGGGATAGGAATTGGTATGTGCAGCCCTCCTGTGCCACGACGGGGGATGGACTCTACGAAGGGCTGACGTGGTTAACGTCCAATTATAAATCCTAATGGGAGAGGAACTATTTAGTCTACAAAGAATTAAAGAAACAAAACAAAAAAATTAAACAAACAAACAAAAAAAAAAAGAAACAAAAAAAAATTAAAATAACCCACGTGGCTTTCCAGAAGAATGATTCTCTACCGAAAAGTAAAAACAAAACCGCATCCATAGGATTATGATCACCTTTCTCCAGTTGCCACCCTTTCCTCCTGCACCCTTGGCTGGATTCCTGTTCTAACTCCTCCTGCTTGGCGTTAGGATGCTCTAACCTCCGAATGTGACACGAACACAGGCACTAGATGCTATGGCAGACTTCCAGCAAACAGGGGAAGGACACATTATAGACTTGCTAAGTAACTTTTTTTTGGTTTTTTTTTTTCCTTTTTCCTCTCGTTAGCCCTTTGCTGGTTTGATTATTTTGGGGGATGTTGGGGGAGGGGGTCCATTTTCAGTGTATGCTTTCTGGGTCTATTTTTTGATTATATATATTTTTTTTCTCTCTCTTCTCTCACTTTGCTGTAGATTGCTACTTTTTTGCATTCTTGCAGGATATGTTGCTAGGTCGACTTCATCTAGTAAACTGAAAATTGTTGCTTAAAATCAAACTGCAGTCTGTCTTTTTATATTAAGGACTTTTTTTTTTTTTTTTAAAAGGAAAAAAAAGTTCTGTTAATCTGTAACTAAACAGTGACTCAGTCTGGCTCCACGGCTCAGGCTAACGAGGGGAACTCTTGCCTGCAGTGGCACAGAGTGGGAATTCCACTGTAACGCGTTCAAAGTGCGTGTCGGGCGCTGGGAAATGTAAGAACTGCTTTGGAATGGCAGCTGGGAAGTTGTGACCCATACATCATGCATGAGGAGGGATGCAAAACCGGCTCCCCACACCACACAGCAAACCAGGCAGGAGCGGTGCTGCGGTTCCAGGGCAGGCACCGGGCAGGTTTTTTGTCTTTAATGAGGTTTAGTTGCAGTTTTTTACTCCTTGGTGTCGCTCCTCGGGCCGGGGCTCTTTCCAGCAGATGCAGCAATAAAATGTTGCAATGAGTTTGACTTTAAATCAGATGTTTTGGCAAAAGTCCAGCTCTGACTTGCCTCTCGCTTCCATCTCAAGGCAGCTGGAGACACCTAAACCTTGAAAGGATTCCCGTTTCTTTTCAGCAACCAGAAGGAAATTGTTGTTGTTGTTATTATTATTATTATTGTTCTTTTTCCGTGCTGGAGCCTTGCGGAGGGGCGCGTTCCGAGCCGGGCTCTGCTCGAGCCCGGGGTTTCTGACATCGGGAAGGGCCATTTTGAGGAAATCGCGGCCGGCTTTGGTTTTCCAGGGCCGGCCCGAGCTGCTGCCGTGCCCGGGGCTGCTGGAGCACCCGGAGCTGTGCTGGGTGTCCCAGCCCCGCCGAGGAACCGCTCCTGAGAGCGGGGAGGGCAGAGAGAAGGAGAATCGACGCTGAATGTAAACTTCCATAATTAGTTCTAAAAGGGCAGAGCAGCTCGTTAGCCGTGTCACAGCCTGTAGCTGGGGCTGGCCAATCAAAAACCCCACCCAGAGCGAGTATTTGCATAAAAACTCAATCAAGTATTAATTAACGCTGGGTGCACAAACTGTTAAAGCAGCTGGTTCTTATTCAGCCTTAAGGATTAACTTCAGATTTCCTCAAGGGGTTAAAACTCCTTTGGGGAATTCTAGGAATGTATGCTACAAAACCAGAAGAAAATGGCTTTTATTTTCCATCTTTTCCTTAATTGTGTTCTCTTTTCAAGAATCTAAGTTTTACATGGAATTGGGGGCATTACACTACATTGCTGCAGTGGTGACTCTGCATGCTGAGTACCTTGTACATGGAGCTCTTACCAAAGATGTATGGGAAGATAAAAATCCTGAATTCACTTCTGAAATCCAATGCTTTGGAGCACTTCAAAGTCCTTTTAGAGTGTGGTTCCAAAAAAAAAGACTTTTCTGGATGTGGGTCGCAAATGGGACTGGATGGGTTCTTGGTGCTAGAAGATAGAGCATTGATGGACTTTGTGAATTGTAGAGAGTCTGCAGAAGCTTAATGTAGAAAAACTCTTCCATCTCAGCCCTAAAGAAGAGGAAGTGAGATTAGTTTATTTTAATCCAAGGCTTTTTGCCATTGGAATATCATTGCTCTATTTTCTAGCTTTTCTTTTTCTTTTCCTGTTGCTGTAACTTAATGAACAGTGTGGTGGTATAAAAACTTCAAATTACAACAATATGGTTACTGTTTTCTTCTGGAGCATCAATAAAATAGCCAAGCACAAAGTAAATGCCTAAACTGGAAAACTTGAAGCTCTATTAATGGTTCTTGAACTTTCTTAAACCTACTCTCAGTCAGCATGAAAACTTCAGTACCTTCATTTTTTGTCTGAGTTGGTTTCCTGTGTTTCCAAGCGCTGGGGCAGCCTTTGCATTAAGTTGATTTTGCAATTTTGTATCCCCTTAGAAGTAACTTTGTAATTCTGTTTTTTGTAGGTGAAAGGAAATTGCTTTTGCTTCTGGATTTTTAAAATTTTATTTTGGGGGGTTGGGGGGGGGAGTGGGGAGGAAGAGATGGGGGAGAAAAAGTTACTGGAAGGTGTGGCAGAGCCGTCAGAAATCAACGGCCGTGGCCACCCAGCACAACCCCACAGGTTTCACTTCCAACACGTCCTTTCCAGGCTGTAGCTGGACCTCAGCACGAGGGAGTGGCTGTCAGTAGGATGAAAAGTGGGAATTCTGTACCAAACAAACCAGTCTGGAATTCCAAGCGCATCGATTTGTGTTCGTGTGAATTTATGGAGTAAGTTTTGAATCGTGTCCGACCAAGTGACCGAGTTTGTGGCCTGTGATCTCCCTGACTGAAGTTGCCAGGAATTTTGTGTTCTCAATATGGCTGTAGTGTTGGTAAAGAACTAATAAGCAGAAAATAAAGCAATTATACAGCGGAGCTCTCCTGGTATGTTACTTGTATTGAATTATGAGAGAAGCAGAAAGGGGCAATCTGGTGCTGGAGTCTGGCATAAAGAGGGCTCTGTTCTGGATCTCCCAGATTGGAAGCCTGGCTGGAATTCCTTTGAGAATTAGATGAGAAAGTGGAAAAGGAAGATGCTGCTTTAATATTCCCACTTGAGCAAACTTTACTGTCAGGGCTCTGCAGCCTCGGTGCCAGCCCCACCTCGCTCGCAGGTGAGGGCAGGGAGGAGCTGTCCCGGCCGTGTTCCAGCGGGAAATTCCCTGGAAAGGCAGCACCAGGCCGGTGTGGAACACAGGGACGGACAAGGGGGCTGATGAGTGACCAGGAAATTCCCTGGAAAGGCAGCACCAGGCCGGTGTGGAACACAGGGACGGACAAGGGGGCTGATGAGTGACTGGGGGTGCTTGTGCAGTGACAGATGTGACGCTGGACTCGCTGGTGCCTGGGTAGGACTCGAGTGAGCTGATAAAAGGACTTGGGCAGGTGCTGGGGCTAGGGGGCAGCGGGACACGGGTCCTGTGACAGCTGCCATCCCCTGGGACAGGCTGGGGTCACAGCCGGAGCTCTGCTCCCGCAGCCGTGGCGCTGCCTCCTTGCTGCAGAGCTCCGGGAACGCTCAGCAGCCCCCGGACCTGCTCTGGTGAGAGCACCCCCGCCTGTGGAACGGCCGAGCCCTGAGCTCCCTTCCCACCCAAAGCATTCCGTGATTCCGTGGTTATCCAGCCAGGGGGGCGCAGGAGCCTTCCCCTTGCAGGGTGCTCAGGCTCGGCCTGGCTGGCAGAGCAGGGTGTGGCTGTGGAAATGAAGTTTCTCTGAGTTAATTAAACTCCTCGGAGCAGGGGAACCGGTGTCGCTCTGGCTGCTGCCGTGAGTCACATTTCAAAATGCCGGCGCTTATCGCGCCCCATCAGCGCCGTGAGCCCGGGGCACGCCGTGACTCAGCCCCAGCAGGGCCCTGGCCCCATGGACAGCCTTGGAAAAGCTCTGCCCACCATTCCTAACTGGAAATGGTCCCTGTTAATGCAAGTCCTCCCAAAGGAATGTGTCTCGCTTTAAAAATGTTGTCGGAGCAGCTGGCGGGAGGGCTGGGAGAGCCTGGGGAGCTGAGGTGATGTCCCTTCCCACTGCTGTCCCTTCCCACTGGGCCCTGGGAATGGGACAGAAGGGACTGCCGGGAACAGAGGGCTTGCTGTGGATGTGGAAGCAGCCTCAGTGTGAGCTCTGTGACTCAGACTTCCCTCTAGCACAGGGCTGTGCTTTTATCTTGAATTTGCCTCTAATATCTGTCCAACCTGACAGCTCGCTGTGGGCAGCCCAAAATCCCCTCAGCTTTGGTGCTTTCTGGATGTTCAAATAAAAAAACCTTTCCCCTGGTCTCGTGGGGAAGCGTCAGCTCCCAGGGGCTGTTGGTGAGCGAGCGTCAGCCCTGCTGAGCGCTCGGTTCCTCTTTGAGGTCCTGTGTGTGCTCGTGTTTCGGAATTACGGCTGAGCAAAGGCTCTGAGGGCTTCAGGCCCAGCTGAGCCCCACACTCCATCTCCCTTTCGCTGTGGGAGCCCCCCAGGAGCACAAATGTGCGGCTGTGAGAGCTCGGCAGGCGCAGGGTGAGTCAGAGCCCAGCAGCTCTGAGCAGGCTGGTTTGTCAGGCGGGAAATGGGGTGTCCAGGAAGTGGCTCTGCTCTTGCCCAAGAACAGGTATCTCTGGCCTCCTTAAGAAAGGAGGGGGAAAAAAGGCAAGATGTGACTCACTGCTGAGTCTCACAGTGGTTTAACAGGCTCTGGGCCCTGCTCTGCCTCAGGTTTTCCCTTCCAGAGGCTGCACTTCGCTCCTCTGTTCCTGGTTTTTTTAGTTGCATCTTCCAAGACAGCTTTAGTTAGGAAAAATGCTTCAGCAGGGTTTAATGGGTGTCCTGTGAGATGGAAATTGGTGATGCTTGGAAATTGGTAACACTCAGAACACTTTGTTTTCCTTGGGAGTTTTCAGGTGAGAGCAAACCCCAGGGGTGGCACCCAGAGCTCCTGGATCTGTACAGGATCCCGGTGCTCAGCTGCCTTTCAGTGGTGAAAACTCCCTTGGTGGTTAAACAGAGAAGAGGAGGGAGCCAAGGTGTAGAAAGGAGCCTGAATTCCTGGCTGTGAGGGTGGGCAGGCCCTGGCACAGGGTGCCCAGAGCAGCTGTGGCTGCCCCTGGATCCCTGGAGGTGTCCAAGGCCAGGCTGGACAGGGCTTGGAGTAACCTGGGACAGTGGGAGGTGTCCCTGCCCATGACTGGGGTGGCACTGGATGAGTTTTAAGGTCCCTGCTTGAACCATTCTGTGATTTTACAGTGTTGTGAACTAAAATTATCCCCATGTTGTGCCTAGAATGGATTCCTTGTCTGACTTTCCATGCATGGCCCAGGCACTGACTTCATCTGAAGTTTGGAGTGATGGAGCAGGAGGAGAGGTTTTCTCTCTCATCAATGCCAGGCATGAAAACCTGAGGAAAGCTGCAGCAAACGCTGCAAGAATCAATGATTCTGCAAGAATCCAGTGATTCATGAGCTGTCCTGTGAGAATGCACTTTTATTTCACATTTTGGGGGGAAAAGGGGGAAACCTCAAGCAGCCTCTGTAGTTACAGGAGAGCAGGACACGGGGTGGGCTGGCTGGGAGACCTCAGAAGGAAGGGAAGCAATTTCCCAGGGTTATCCTGGATTTTTGCTTTTTGTGTGGCTGAGCTCCAGCAATTCCCATCCCATGAGGGTCCCTCAGAGGAAAGCACTGCCTGGATCATCACTGCAGGGGACAGAGAGGAGCAGAGGGAAGCACCCAGCGCCAATCCAGGCCCAAAATGCCTCTGCCATTCCTGCAAAGCTGCTCCTGGGGAAGGAGCTCATCCATGGAGGCTGGGAGCTCCATGCCTGGTGCTGACAGCTCCTAACTGGGCAGCTCCGTGTGCCTGCTCCAAGGGAGACTTTGCACTTTGGGAGTGGAACGTGGGATTGCAAAGTCCCTGCGCTGCTGAGATTTGCTCTTTTTGCCCTGAGGAGCTCTGTGCATTTCCCCTGGGAAGGAAGGGGCTCCTGTGGGGCAGCAGGACCCCGAGGCTGGGCGTTCCCAGGGTCTGGAGTGGGATGTGCCCACAGTTATCCCATTAGCTCAGCATCTGCCAGGATGCCTTTCCCCACAGGGGCTGGATTAGGCTGGAGCTGACCCAGCTCTTCAGGAACCTTTTCCTATCTTGTTTTTGTGCCTTTCAGGCTGCTGCCCTGGCTGGAACCAACCCCAGCACCGCCTCACACCGCCGAGAGGGAGCTCTGGCAGGCCAGCAGGGAGCTGGCTTTACCTTTGCCTCCAAAGAATGCCTGTGGAGTGTTCAAATTCCATCCTGGATATCCTGGAGCTGCTCGTATTTTCAATAGAATGAGTTTTTTGGGCTGTGATGACTGATCAGCACTGAAATTGAAGCATCTGGGTAGGGAGGCGAGGGCCAGCAGCAGGACAGACTCTGCTGGTGTGCTCAGTGGCTCCTCGGTGCCTGACACGAAGGTTTGGGATGATCTCCCCTGGCTCTGCTGGCTGGAAGAAGAGCCAAGCTCAGCAAGGGCTGCTGAGGAAGCCACTGGCCCCTGGTGCTGTGCTGTGGAAGGAGCTGAGTGGCTGCCAAAGAGCTGGCCCTGGATCTCTGGCTCATCTTACAGCCCTGGACCCGTTAATGAATCCAAAATCCTCCAGCCCTTGCCTCCAAACATTCTGAGTGTGTGGCATTTGAGAGCCAGGGTCACCATCCAGGCTCTGCTGATGCTCCTGGGCTGCTCCTGTTTGGATCTGCTCCTGGCCACGCTGGCTGCAGTGCTCTGGCCTCACTGGGGAGGGCTGGCAATGTGGCAGGGAGCAGGGCAGAGCTCTGCTCCCCTGTAAGGAACACTGCTTGCAGCCCCAGGATCTGCTCCTGCCCTGCCTGTTGGGCTGATCCTCACCGAGAAATCCTGCTCTGCGTTTTCCCCTGCATCTGAGCTTACACTTTTAACCACAGCACCAGAACTTCCCAGCTTTGCATTTCATCGTGGCCATTTTCATGATTTTTGGCAGGGGGTGCATCTCCTCACCAGGATGAGCTGCAGCTTTTACACTTTGGAGTTAGCTGTGTGTTTCCCTGACCCACCTTTGGAGTTACTTGTGGGTTTCCCTGACCCACCTTTGGAGTTAGCTGTGTGTTTCCCTGACCCAAGGCCCCCAGGTCTAAGCCAGGACCGTCCTGCTCTAATGCCACACTCACTTTTCCCCCCCTCCCCATTCCAGTGAGCCCCAGCCCCGCTCTGCCGTGGGGGAGAAGGGGCTCCC